CTTTCAGGAATGTTTGGTTTTCTCCTGAGGGCCTGGTTTGTTTCTATTTTTTGATCTTTGCATTGACTGCCCAGCAACTCAGAGTAGAGCTTTTTTTGCCTTTCACCTGGCAAATGGCAAATGTATCCTGTGGATTATATGGTGTACTAGCCCTAAGCTTCGTCTTATTTTCTCTGCATTTCAACTTCCTCACTATGTTTTAGAACTCTCATTGTAATTATAATCTTGTAAATTATATCCAAATCCTTTTTGGATTAGGATGGAATGTAAATAGGAATAAACAAATGAATAAATGAACAAAGTAAATTATAAATCATTACAAATAAATGCAAAAAAAACCCACAATAAACATGAATCAGATACCAACAAATGCAGGTTGTTTTCAAGTTCCTCATTAAAGCTATCATATTTACTTTTGTGTTTTTGTTTTTTGAGACAGGGTCTCTGTGTATATCCCAGGCTGCCTTGAATTGAGATCCTCTTGCCTCAGTCTGCTGAGTACTGAGATTACAGGCATGTGGCATTCTAACTGCTATTTTATTCATTTTTTTCAGTAGTGTATATTAGTTGTACAAAGGGGTTTCACTGTGATATTTCCATAAGCATATATAATGTATTTTCATCAAATTCAACCCCTTTATTACTCTTTCTTATCTCCTCTCCCCTCCCATCCTTTGTGGGACTGAGGGTCGAAGTCAGGGCTTTGCACTTGTTAAGTTCTGATATGAGGATTCAAATAGTCAGGCACCCAGCACATAATAACAAGGGTTAAGTAAAAGCTGGCCATTAGTCTGGTGATTAAGGATGAAGCCATTGCACATGCTCAGTTTCCTCCTTAGCTGTCTGTGATTAGGAACAGCAAAGCTTTTGCTCTCGTGCATCTGAGCAGCTGAGCTGGAAATATCCTAAGATTTCTGGTGTGAAGTTTGGGTTTTACCTTCTATTTGCATGGACTCCATCCAGGGCCTGGGAAGGGATCCCCCAATGCACCCACATGAATGTATATTTTTGTAAAAGGTATAAAAGTATGATATTTTGCATTGTTTTTCTTAAGGAGGACCACCCAAATTGACCTCACCATACCTGGGTACAGCCTGGCATCCAAGTCACCAATACCTGCTGATAGTAGTAGACTGACAAATGGATACAGACACATAAATGTGATCACAGATGCACAAGAGCCCATTGAAACACTTAGCTTGTCACTCAGAGATAAGCCACCTTTGTTCTAAAGTATAAAACACAAATTCCCTTCTGGTCTGTCTTTAGAATTGAAGAAATGCTTGCCTAACACCCTTAACTAACGAAAGTGAATCTCCTTTCACCTTGCTGCTTAATCAAATTTCACAATATCCTATTATTTTTGCAGACTAGTTGCTGTGCAGAACACAAACCATGTTTTGGCTCCAGGCCTTCAGTTCTTGGGTTGTGTTACTCACATTTCAAGAAGGCAGTAGCCACATGTGGCTCCATGTGGGGAAACATTTCAATCATTGGAGACTGTTGTATTAGCGCTGGGCTGCTTTCAGGAAACTGCAATTAGTTCAGCATGGTTGGATCACAATGGATGTGAGAAGATAGACAGATAGGGATTGAAAGATAGATAGGGATTTGTCTTGTTCCTGGTGGCAGTGAAGAGCCATTTGGGATTTCCAAGGGAGAGGACAGCAATGAGGAATTACCAGGGAAGGAAGACTGGGACAGGGAGGCCCAGTGGAAACTGCTACATTGGACAGAAAGTAGATGAGAGAGAATCAGTGTACTGGCAGGCAGGGGATGGAGAGAAGAGGAAGACTGTCAGTGGTCAACAGAGAGAACTGATTGATGAGAAGAGGGTAAGAGAGATGGAGGAAGAGACTGAGAGAGGAAAGCATTTGAACTGAATCTTGGACGGTTGGGCTCATTGTGTTGCCCATGCTGGACTAAAACTCAAGTGATCCTCCTGTATCAAGGACTATGGAATTGTTATTCTTTAAGAAAGAGACAGAGAAGGGAAGTGCAGGGTGAGTAGAAGAGAGTGATGTCCATTTGGAATAAGATGACTTTGTGGTGTCTCTGGGATATCGGAGGAAATGTCTGGAGGGCCTGAGGATATCCAGGCTGTGAAGCTAAGAGAACGGTATGTGCTGGTGGGAAACAGGTAGGCTGAGACCCAGGATAGGAATCCCAGTCTGCCATGAGTTGAGTGGTTTGGGAAAGCCAAGAAGGCCTTCTTGGCATCAGTTATAATCTCTAAAATGTTGATAATAGTATTTTTATGTAAAGGGAAAATTCTATGAATGGCTTATAAATGCTTGTTTCATGCTGCTAATATTCTTATCTCCCTTAATTGCTTTAAAAATTATAGATAACATGTGTAAAATGTCTACTGCTGAGTAAGTGACTTTTTTTGGTTTTTTGGTGGCACTGGGGTTTGAACTCTGGACCTCACACTTGCTAGGCAGGCACTCTTACCACTTGTGACACTCTGCCACTCCTTTTTTATGATGAATTTTTTTTCCTGGGTTGACTTGGAACTGATATCCTCCTGACTTCCTCCTAAGTAGCTAGGATTATAGGCATGAGCCACCAGCGCCCAGTGTAAATGACTTCTATTATTGCTATACCTGGGAAGTTGGTCAGACAGAGTATACAGAGCAAAAGGAGAGTTGAGGAGTTCAGCCAGAACAGCACTTGAAGAGTAAGAAGAAAGAGAAGAGAGGGCCACAAGTGTTAGAGGAAAACCAGGGAGGTACAGAAATCCAGAAACTCAGAGGCATGGAGGACCCAAGGAGAGAGTGAGCAGTTGTGTTATACCAGAGAATCTGGGTAAGTTAAGGACCATTGGATTTGGTCACTAGGAGGCCGCTCAGTTTCAGGGAAATAGGGAGGAAGAAAGACTATGCTGAGTTGAGCGGTGGATCAGGCTAAGATGATGGAGACACGAAGACATAATCTGTTCTGAAGACTGGTTGGGAAGGGGAACCATGTATGTGGTATCTGGGGACTGGAGGAAATTTGATGAAGGGAAGGTTTATTCAGGTTCCAATATAGAGTATACATACACAGATGAGCTAGAAGCCAGAGAGAGGAAGTGAGAGAAGAGACAAAGACAAGAAACTATGAGTAGCTTGGGGGTCTGAGGAAGCTAGCAGGGGCAAAGCCCAGAGCCCAAGGGAAGGGATTAATAGGGACCAAGGAAAACCGTTTATTAAAGTGGGAGTTTTGGGAACTATGACGACATTAAACCTCCATCACGACTGTCAACAGGTCTCTTATGCTGTTCCATCTGGATCCCTATTCCTCTAGGACCTTTTGTTCAATTTCTGACAGACTAAATTTAGACAGACTAAATTTTAAGAAATACAACTGATGCAATTCCCTTTAAACTGCATTACAAGTGTGTGTGTGTGTGTGTGTGCGCGCGCGCACACACACACACAGGGGTCTGTTGCTGGAGATCAAACTCAGGGCCTTGGCATGCTGGATGTGCACTCTACCGCTGAGCTAAACCCCCAACCCTATTATAAGCATTTTTAATGCCAAAGACAGATTATTCCGAATGTAACTCAAAAGAAAGTATAAATGGGTTTACGTTGCTCTATAACCTCTATATTTAATTCTAACTATAGATACATTTATAATAAATATATTTATAATGCAATTTAGTGTCATATTTATAATATATTATAAGAAATATGTATTTAGAGTTGGGAAAACAGTCTCTTTTAAGACAAGGGAACAGTTTATCATTTCAAATAAACTGAGTTTGTCATCTCCTTTGAATTGAGAATTTGGCCAGAGTGAAGCTTTCAAATTGAGGTAGATTTCTCATAAATTCAAGTTAAATATTACATAACTTCTTTCCATTTTTATCACCTGATTTGGGGGAGAAGATATTCTGCACAACTATCCCCAAATCTCATCAGGTTGTCACTGAATTCCTGAGATTTATTTATCTGTAAGATTCTTCCTTTGAAGCTTAGTCACGTTAATTATCACAGTTAAATAAAAGTAATGTGTCTTCAAAGGGACAATAACAGATTCAGCAGGGCGGTTGCACTTTGGGGTCCCACACAGGCCACTTTCCTGTTCTACCATGGTGCTCTGGGTATGCTGTTCTTTCTGCCTTCTGTAGTCCTTCAACGCCTGTCCTCAGGCACCTACCTTGTAGTCTATTTGTTGATTTCTCTTCCTGCCCCACCCCCACATCTGCAGAAGGACAATGCTGTTTGAGGCACTCTGTATTCAGACTGCTTTTGTTCAAATCCCAGAACCGCCATTCGCTAGCTGCTCTGTCACTTTGGACAAGTTGCTCAACGTGTCCGTTTTCCCACCTACAATTTGGGGATAAGAAATATTTTGAGGATTAACTTTGTTAACCTATGGTAAACACTCTTGTTTGCTAAGTTTGAGTCTGTCACCTTGAGAATGCTTGCTGAGCTGTGAGGCACCTCACCCCCATCTGACCCTCTGTTGATTATTGCAGTCTACTTGCTGAATACTGGAAAATAGATGAACAAGGAGCAGGAGGGAAGGAGGCTGGTCCTTCCGGGTTTAGGAGAGGTCACGGGGAAGGGAGGGTGAGAAGTTTGAGCTTGTTGGACAGGACATACATGGAATTAATAGTTTGAGGAAAGGGTATCTCGGGGCTTATAGCCCAGCCCTGGCGGAACCGCGACCACCTCTCCAGCACAGCACCTGAGGAAAAGTACGGTGACCCCAGATTCACCAGTGGCAAGCACTGGTAGGGGGCCTGAAGAATCTGGTTCCCGGAAGGATGCTCCGCACAGGGTCCCCACCTTGTCCCGCCACTGCAAGTACCAGCGAAAAATCTACCGCAGTCAATGGACTGGTGGTCCCTTCTCGGTCCAGAGTTCCCTGGCCCCGCCTTCCCGGCTCCTCATTCCTCATCCCGCCCCCTTCCGAGTCGTTCCGGTGATTGGCTGCCCGTCTCTCTGGTCCATCCCCGCCCCGCCCCGCCCCGCCCCGCGGTCCTAGTCTCTGCGCCGCGCTCGGGTCGCCGGCCTCTTTGTCCCGTGGGTTTGGCGGTGAGTGTGTCTGTTCTTGGTCTCCCGAGGTGAGGGTACTAGTCGGTCTGTGGACCTGGGTAGGGGCTGGGGTGGCCCCGCGTCCCCTCGAGCTTTGCCCGCCCGGAGCTCCGCTGCTCCCGGCGGCCAGAACGGAGGGGTAGAGCAGCCCTCGGTGGCCCGGGGGTCGGGTGGCCGTGCCCGGCTCGGGGCCGCGCGAGACACAGGCGCCGCGCGCATCCGCACGGAGCCTCCCTGGGCCGCCGGGCGGGGTGACACGTTTGCGCTTTGTTTCCCCAGGGCCGATCCGATGCTATTTTGTAGGGAGCTCCGGGCGGGGCCTTGCCCACGGCTGCCGGAACCCCGACCCGGGTAGGTCGGCCACGAGAGTTTGTCTCCAGCGTTCCAGAGTTGCAGCTGCCTCGGTTCTAGGCGCAGGTATGTCCCTAGTCTTGAAATGACGCATGCGACGAACACGTGGCCAACTGCAACCGGAGGGTTTCCAGGCGCGTGTTTGTTGCAGAGGCCCAAATCGACACTTACCGGAAAGGAAATTCGCAGGCTCACGCAGAACAACTGCCCCTCATGGGTTGGCAGACGTGTTACACGGTTTAAAAGATCGCCCTTTCCTGTGCCCTGTTAAGGTTGACGCAGTGCCTTGAGAGGCTAACACAGAAGGGTAAAGGAAATCTCCATAAAACCCAGAGAAGAGCTTGTAAAACTCCTCCCTGGATCCTGTCTGGAGTCACAGCTGAACCAGAAGAAATTTAGTTAACAGTTTAAACATAACCGAGATGTTTTATATATAGTTAATGAAACGATACATTTAAACTTAGCCTTTGCTTTGCTATATTCACACATACTTTTTGGACTCCTCTGGGATACTATTATAGTAAGGAAATTTGGGTACTTTGGTTTTCTTTGAAAGTGGAAACTTCATATGTACCTAAGGCTTTTGCTTGAAATGCATTAAGACAAACTGGAAAGAATGTACCGCAGCGTTTTCTGTTTATTTAAAACATTTTCATTCCTTTTGTAGGATGAAACTACAGGTGCAAACGGTTGAAGCTGGACTAATCTCCTGGTATTTTAACAATTTCACCTATTAGCACTCCACAGTTACAATAAGAAAGTGCCTCTAATGAGGGGAAATGTTTTTAGATGTAGTAACTAACCAGGTGTCCACAATGCCACAGGAGTTAGAACAGTGGGACAGAGCTAGTGGTGACAGGGCAATGTGTCAAGTGCTTCATTGAACCCCTTCGTTTAATTCTCACAGCCCTGAGATTGGTGCTGTTCTCCCATCTTACAGAGGAAGAAATGGGTTAGGTTGGAACTCAACTGAACAAGGAGTCGGTGTCTAATAGAATCCCTGAGATTTGGTGTCAGTGTAAGAGTTTAAAAAAAATTCTATAGATTGGTATACTTTGGGTGGAAAGAGGGACACAGTAAAGCTGTTAAGAATATAAATCTTTTGTAGTTATCACCTTGAGCCTGTTTTACCAGGTTCCCTTTGGCACAAAAGGAGCATCTTCATTCAGTTTGTTAGGGTTTTCAAAGGTGTGTTAGCATAGTGAGGTGTAAAAAGGGGATTAAAAGAACATAGTATTGGGGATAGTGGGAAAGCTTTCATGTGGGAAGAACTATGACAATCTGGGAAGGAAAATGCATGTACCCAGTTCTACATGTCTAGGAATTGGCACTTAAAATCATTTTCTAGAAACTTTAAATAAAGCTATTTAATGTTTATCTTAAAGTCCTTACTGGTTATTTCTGTAACTGTTTTGGCCTATCAGTTTCATGTTCTGCATTATACTCCAAAGGCCAGTCTTAGCTGGCTATATTTGTTGGGGGATGGTACTCATAATTGCAGGTAGAGGTGACCAGGGATATGACTAGAGGATGTGTATCACATCTTAAGTGTTTCTATAAATGGGGCGGAGAGCATTTCAGGCAGGAAGAAAATAAGACTGAAGAGGGATGGCCCTTAAGGAAAAGAAATTTTTGATTCTGTTGGATTATATGTGACATTCAAATGGATGGCTTATGGCCATCACCTACTCATAGCAACAGTATAATGTTTAGGGCCTAGGTTTCAAACCCTACATTTTGATGTGATTTTATACCAGTTACTACTTCATCTGTTTTAAAATTGTAAGTCCTGGGAAAATGTATTGATGGGAGTGGGGTTTGAACTCAGCCTCACTTGTAAAGCAGGTACTCTGCTGCTTGAGTCACACCCCCAACTTTTAGTCTTTTTTTTTTTTTTTTTTTTGTCTAGTTTATTTTGGAATTGAGGTCCCATAAACTATTTGCCAAGGCTGGCCTGGAACCATCATTCTCCCAATCTGAGCCTCCCAAGTAGTGAGGATTATAGGCATGAGCCACTGGCATCCAGCCTGTTCATCATTTTTATGATGCTGTATTACTGATACGGTGTTGTCAGTCATGATGCGTGTCTATGGGTATTTACAATAGAATAGCTCTCATGTTCATTTAATCTGCCAAGTAGTATGTACATAGGAGACAAGGTAGAAAAGACTGGATATAGTTGGCTGGAAGCATATGTAACTACAGGTAAAAAATTAGGGAGACCCCCCCTCTTAATAAGCTGGTCTTGGTAGTGTGGACCACCGTGGAAGGTGCTGGCCCTGGGCGAAAATGGAAGTACCTGAAAAATGCTAAAGCAAAAAAAGGGCTTGGGGCATGTCTCAAATGGTGGTGCTAGACAAGCAAATGCTGGGCCCAGTTCAAACACTACTGCCAAAAAATCCCAAAGCTAATAAATTCTGGTAGGACAAGGAGTCCAGAGAAGTTATGTTTACTAGGTGTTGTCATGAAAAGTGCATGAAGTCTGACAAGGCTTTAGTAAATCCCTTTCAAAGGTAATCAGTTTTCACAAATTCTCCCTTTCCACTGAGCCCTCCAGATAGTTCTTTGCCCATTGAGTTACTTGGGCTGGGTGAGCCTATGGAGGCACTGCACCTGCCATGGAACCTGTTTTTGACAATTTTTGGGTTACTAGTTTGAAGTCTGTTAGGCTGAATTAGCAGCAGGTAACATGAACAGTTTGTTAAATGGGAAGAAACATAGCCCAGAATAAAGAACTACAGAGATAGCAGACCTGACCACTAGTCACATGGCTATTTAGGTAAGACTAAAATTTCAATTCTGCAGTTGCATTGGCTACATTTCAAGTGCTCAGTAGCTATATGTGGTTAGGGACAGCACAGGTAGCGAACATTTGCACTTTTGTACAGCTGCTGGCAGTACTGTTGTAGAGATGCATGGTGGCCACCTTGGATTTTGAAAACCAATCTGTCTAGGGAGATGGCTTGGTAACTGAACAAGGCGCCCAAGGATGCCAGGTCCTAACATCTGGCACCTGCAGATGTTCCCTTATTTTGCAGATAGGATTGGATTAAGGGTTCTGAAATGTGAAGATGATTGTCAGGACAATCCTAGTGTGCACAAGGTCCCTCATAGGAGGGAGGCAGACAGATTGCACATATAGGAAATAGCCATATGAAGACAAAGCAGAGATTGGAGTGAAGCAGCCACCACCAGAAACTGGAGGCTAAGGAACCAATAAAAGGACTTGTGGCCCTGTGAGAGGATAAATTTCTGTTTTAAGCAGAGTTACTGGTAATTTGTTGTAGTGGCCACAGGTCACAAGTGAAAAGCTTAAGAAACATTGCTTTGTTAGAACTTCAACACACCAGACTGCCTCCCACACTTTTTATTATCTTTTTAGTTTTTATTTTAAAGTGTCAGGTGTGGCCATCAATTTAAAATATATTTAGACTTTACCTGGGCTCATGTGGCTCACACCTGTAATCCTAGCTACTTGGGAGGCTGAGAGTGGGAATATGGCAGTTCCAAGCCACTCCAGGCAAATAGTTCCTGAGATCCCATCTCCAAAATAACCAAAGCAAAAAGGATTGGAGGCATGGTTCAAGCAGTAGAGTGCCTGCTTTGCAAAGGCAAAGCCTTGAGTTCAAACCCCAGTTTCACTAATAAATAAAATTGAGCTTTAGTCATAAGTGATAGAATGGCTAAAATGCAGAACTAGCAAATTCCTAATAAAACATCAAAACTGGTAAAAGGATTATTTTTTGGCTTATTGGAAGCCAGTTATTATATACACACATAAATTTCATTTATACAATACAGAACTGAATTTAATAGGGAAAACATTTTTTTGCCCTGGAGGCCATAGAGCTTTCACCAGCAGTACCCAGGGGTGATACAGACTTAAAATGAGACCAGTTGTCTATAAATAACCTCAATTTTGGCTCACATTCCAAGAAATGTCACTTGAGTTTCTGGGGAGATTTTTATAAATAAAATTTAATAGTATAACATAACTAGTTGTCTCAGGGTTAACCACCTTAGGGCTGACAAAGTCCTTCCTATGATAGTTTTGTTGTCTGGGTTTCAGTAACACTTATAATAATGGGAGACCACACTTCAATAGCATCATCCTTAAAGACGGAAATAAATAGGCAAATAACTCAAGTTGTACTTGTTGAACTCAAATTTCTTATGGGAAGGAACAGCACATTTCAGCTAGCTCTTTAAGATGTTAAAGGACAAGTATGCTGAAGTCCTTTGCGTTAATTTTAGGCTGATCAGAATTTCTTCCATGTAAAACCATTTTTTACCTACTTTCTATAGAATGCATTGATATCAACTCTGACATGAATTTCTAATGTCTTTATTAAAACGTTTCAAAACTACCAGTCGACTAGATCATAATTACTTGAAGCTATTACAGCTTCATGAATATTCAAGATACTGTCTCCCCTTTAATAAAGGTTGTTAGAGCTGAAGCTTAGGATATGTTCAGTCCACACAGTAACACATGTAATGTGAAGGTCAAAACTCAGTCCCTTGTAGATGAAAAGATTTATGTATGTTGTGGTTTGTGTGTTAATTGGAGTGATACGTTTTGAAACTCAATCTACAGAATATCACGATGAAAGAAATGTCAACGTTTCATACCAAACCAGTTTGTATATAAAAATCATTTAGCCAGGCATGTGTGGCTACTACAGTAGCACCTGTAGTCCTAGCTACTTGGGAGGCTGAGATCTAGATCAGGTTCAAGGCCAGCCCAAGCAAACAGTTTGCTAGACACCAACCCCAAAAAACCCAGAGCAAAAAGTACTGGAGGTGTGGCTCCAGCAATAGAGCAGCTGCTTCATTCAGTTCAAACCTGTTCCCCATTCCTCCTACCCACCCACCCAAAATCCAGTTAAAATTGAAAAGGTTTATAGGCTGAACAAAATTAAGTCTGATTTTTTTTTTAAGGGGTGGTAGGGAGAGTGACTTTTAAGGAAGAAAAGAGTATTTTTTTTCATTGATATTTTATTAGAATATATTTGTCGTACTGGGGGCATTCATTGTAACAATTCCAAATAGGCTTATATTGTACATTGGTTAGATCACTCCCACCCTCTCCTTGGGCCCTTCCCCATCCCACTTAAAACTATTTCAAGAGGTTTTTTGTTCTATTTTGTATATGAAGTCCATCAACCATATTCCCTCACCTTAATCTGCTTCCCTCACCCTCCCTCCTCCTGCAAGTACCCCTCCCATACAAACTATACCTATTTTAAAGTCCTGTCTTTCATCAGTAATATCTAAGTCAGTGTTTGAAAGGGTTTCTCAATGTGTCCCTGCTGTGAGTCTACTTTACTTTGGACCATTCAACCCCTTCCATTACTCTTTCTTACCACTTTATCTGTGATTCCCCCATTTTTCAACAGCCTTTGGTTACATATCCTTGTATCCTGTACCTTCACAGATGTGTTTTACAATATTGTTGATGCTCTGTCGTTCAGGAAGAGTAACTGTACATCATTCCTTATATGCCTTTTATTTTTGTTCTTCCTTGCTGGCAGAATTGCATCTTGTTTCCAACATCTGAGCTCAGTTCCCACTCCAAAAAGAAGTTTCATTATAAGTCTATTTTTTGTTTTTATTTTTTACTATTTAAGTCTATTTCTTCTTGTTTTTATTTTTTATTACTTAAATCTGGACTGTGTCTGCCTAAACATGGCCACTCTCGTTCCTTCTGAGATGTTATATCATTCCTCTCTAGCTCTCTGTTGAAGGTTTCATTTACATCTTGAATGAGCTCACCTTGAAGAAATCAGGCAAGAGTGCTTCTGTGCTTAGTTCCTCACCCTGAGGTAGTGTGCTAGGCTCCTAAAAAATGGCCAGTTCTGCTGGGTGTGGGTGGCTCATGCCTGTAATCCTAGCCACTCAGAAGGCAGAGATGAGGAGGATCAGAGTTCAAAGCCAGCCCAGGCAAATAGTTCCACAAGACCTTATCTTGAAAAACCCTTCACAAAAATAGGGCTGGTGGAGTGGCTCAAGGTGAAGGCCCTAAGTTCAAACCCCAGTACTGCAAAATAAATAAATAAATGGCCAGTTCCATGCCCTGCTTTATCACTCCGAGCTCCAGAGGCTTCATGCTGCTTAAATCATGTACCAAGCCAATGGAAAATGTCTGAAGACACTCAGCTCTTCAGTGTCAGCCTGAAATTTCTCTACAACCCATGAGACAAAGCAGTAGCGCTGTGCCCTGAGTCTGTCCAAGTTGCAGGTTCCTGCAAAGCTCTGTTTTGGTTTGGCCTGTGCAAGATTATCAACCACAATATCATGAGAAGGAATCTTCCTAGAAACTCTTCTTGTACAAGTTGTCTTTCAGAATAAGTATTTATTTGTTTGTCAGCCATTTTCTCATAGTTAATTGGCTATTTTAGCAAATCGAATTTCTGACCCTCAGCATCTTCATGGGATCTGTGGGTGACTGGTTGGTGACTATACGTCATCATGTGTATCACTCCTACTCTCACTTTTTGAATTTTTATTCATTTGTTGCAGTACTTGGGGTTGAACTCAAGGCCTCCAGCTT